GCGACACTTTGCCCCAATTGTAGTGAGGCTCGACGAAATAGCTCTTAATTGTGTCAGAAACGCTCCGACGGACACAATTATCCAAGCCAAACTTATAACACAAAAACGTAATATATTATTAATTAAGTCAATGATTTATTTAAAAAATAATAAGATAAAGAAAAAATTACTTACCAATAAGAGCTTGGTACCACTTTTCCGATGACCAGACGTCGAAAACCTTCCCATCCTGGTAGGGCTAATAGGTCCCCCACCATATACCGGGCATACGGATGCGGAGGGCAGGGTTCGGGTGCCGGTGGTGGAGGTGGTGGTGAAGGCGGTGGTGGAGACTGCTCGGCCGCCGTCGGAACTTGGGAGGCTCCGGAGGAATATGGGATCTTGGTATTACCCGAGGCAGACGTCCAAGAAAGAGAATGTCCATCCGCCATAAAATTGATGTAGTGGGTCTTCCGAGGAGGCATCGTCTACAAAAGACAATTCATACTAATTAAAATTAATTTCTGGACCTATTATCTAATTCCGGACCTAATTCTAAACAAATTCCAAACCTAATTTCAAACCTAAATTAATTATAACTAATATTAATTATAAATATATATTAAAAATTAAAAAAAAATACCTGAAAAAGGAGAGACGAGGGGGAGAGGCGTGGAGAAGAGGAGAGAAGGCTGAGGTTTAGAGAGAGAGAGGACAGGAGGAATGAGCGACGAAGTGGAGAAGGGTGCGTCTATATATATATAGTTTTTATATTCATCGTAAATCCGTTGTAAATTTACGACAAAAGTGTCGTAAATCCGACGCATAATAGTCACTGATCCACAAATCGAATAAGACAAACACATGTGGGTGTCTTTCAATTATGGGGTATTTGCTAAAAATAACCCAAAACTTGACTTTGAATACAAAAGTAGACCCCTGAAAAAATATTTGGCAGAAATAACCTAAAGGGGTAGTGAAAAGACCATTTAATCCTGTTTGAGTAAACAAAAAACGGATGTCCTAATTACCGTTTACACCCTGACGAAGTCTACTAAAGTGAAAATGAATTTTATCGAAATGAAGTCTACTAAGTAATTAAATTTTTAAATTTAATTTTTAAATTTTTTAAAAATTATTTTGGTATCAAATTTACATTCATAAATTCCGTAATCGTAACCCAAATGTACAGAAATTATTTTTTCATATTGGTAAATGGTAATGTATGTTTTTAAATTAAGTAGAAGTAAATTTATAATTTAGGTTTTAAAAGTTGTAGACTTCTATATTGAAGTCTACTAAACCGAATAAATTAACCTAACCGAAATTTAAACCGAAATTAAACCGCGAATAACTTCCCTTAACCAAGAGAAACTGCCTGTAACCAGGTAAATTTACCTAGACCCCGTAAAATTAGTAACCTTAACCGAAAAAACTTACTCGAACCGTACGGAATTACCAGACTATATATACGAATTTTACAGATCCCGTTAAAAAAAACCGTCGAAAGTTCCGTGTAAAAAAACAAAAAAAGTCGAAGGCGATTTCTGTTTCTCTGCTCCGGCGCCGCCGACATACAGAACCGCCGCCGATAAACTCGTTCAGGCAAGTTTTCTTTCCTCAACCACACCCCCATGCTTCCCTACTCCTCCGTATTCATCACCTTTCCGTTTTCGTAACCCCCAGTTTCCAGATCTGAAATTAGGGTTTTTCTTTTTTTTGCAGATCTGCTTTCGCCATTGGAGGTTAATGTCATTTTCTGCCTCAAAACGGTTAGTAGATGTTGTTCCGAAGTTATATACTTAGCAATTCTTAAATTTCTTCTATCTTCCTGTAATTTTTTCCGTCGGATTTGACTTAGGTTTTTTTCCCAGATCTGGTTGTATTTTCTCGACGCCAGCTTCATCTAATAAAGGCGGTCAACACTATAAACTTTGTAGATTCCATTTCGATGATTTGTTTTAGTAGACTTCATATACCGCATTTATCATGTATTGATTGCTTCGGTTGGGTTCTGTAGACTGCATATGCAGTATTTATGATGTTTTGATTGCTTCATGTGGATTCCGTTGACTTAATATACTCCCTCCGTTTCACAAAGAATGTCGTTCTGATACTTTTTTTGTTTTAAAAAGAATGTCGTTTTAGAATTCCAATGTAATTTTTAACATAAAATACCATTTTTAACCTCAATAAATTCAGAAAATTAATTATAAATATAATTCCAAGAGTCATTTTCTGCAAATTAATAAGGATATAAGAGACTTTTTATCTTATTTCTTAATTTGTGTGAAGAATGTCAGAACGACACTCTTTGTGAAACGGAGGGAGTACTGTTTTTTTATGTTAAGATTGCTTCGGTTGGCTTCAGTAGACTTCTCGACTCGGATTGTACTTAGAATGTGAAAGTAGACTTCATTTTGTAAAAGTAGACTTCATTTTGTAAAAGTAGACTTCATTTTGTGAAAGTAGACTTCATTTTGTGAAAGTAGACTTCATTTTGATAAAGTAGACTTCATTTTGATAAAGTAGACTTCATTTTGATAAAGTAGACTTCATTTTGAAAATGTAGACTTCATTTTGAAAATGTAGACTTCATTTGTGTATAGTTTCAAACCGTTACTAGTTTTTCTCATTAGAACTTTGTTACCGTTGATGGTGGCCTCTGAATTCCCTAGAAGACTGTACACCAAAGGGTTTGAGCCAGCCCCGGATAAAAGCATCGGCTATTATGCTGATGATTATAGGCTGGTCCCTGCACTAAAGTCAGCTCTACAAGAGGATGAATGGGAAGAGATTTACAAGTCACCGTTGGGTGTCTTTTTAAAGTTCCACGACTTGGATTTTGGTTGGGCTTCTAGGCTGGTGCACCACATGCTGACCTTTCAGATAGTTTGCAAACAGAGGTACGAGATATGGAGCTTGATTGGTACCACTCCAGTTCGGTTTTCATTGCATGAGTTTGAGGAGATCACCGGACTCAACTGCGGGTACGTGGATGACTTGGCTTTAACTGATCTTGCGCTTGTCGATGACATGCGTGCATTTTGGGAGCTAATGGGGGTCGTTGCCGAGTCGGGCCCAAGCACTACCAAAATTATCGAAGCCTGTTCCAACTGCTCATCATGGTCTCGGGATGATAGTCTGCGGTTGGGTTATCTTGGTATCTACGCTGGTTTCATAGTGGCAACAAGACCTGGCTCATCCACAAATGTCAACCATGCCAGACTAGTGATGGATCTCGAAGGTTTTAAGGAGTTTCCATGGGGAAGAATTGCTTTTCAGCATTTGATCAAGTCTGTTAAGGAGAAAGATCTCAGCAAAAATATTCATATAGAAGGATTTGTGCAAGCTCTTCAAGTGTGGGTGTACTATGCTCTACCGGATTTTGCTGCTGAATTTGGCGAACCATTGCCAAATGTTACTGAAGAACCTCTTTTGCTGGCTTACAAAGGATCAAGAGGATGAAAGAACGTCAAAGCCAACATGCTAAAACAGGTACTGTATTAGTGTAGTAGACTTCTATGTAGTAATGTATTTTCAAAGTAGACTTCAGAAGTAGACTTCATGTGTAGACTTCTATATGTACCATTAATAGTGTGAGACATTCAGGAGTAGACTTCTATGCTAGACTTCAGGAGTAGACTTCATACGTAGTTTTCCGAGGCTTCATATGGCTAGTAATCCATTTACTTATTGTGTTTTTCCAGGCTCGCATACAGTCCTGCATGGCTAAGGACTTGGCGTTTATGTTTCCCGTGTGGGATGATGACGAACAGGATCCAGATATTGTTAAGATTGTCAATGCACTCCATGACCCCAATTTCAAGTTCTCAAAAAACCATTGGCCTTTGGAAGGTGTTTTGGGTGCACACATCGTCAAGGCAGAAGCCGGAAAGAGGAGCCTTCCCTCAGATGAATCAAGTCGCAAGAGATCCTGCACAGCCTTTGCCTCTGCCGCATCATTCGTTGATGATGAAGGGGTCGGAGTTGTCGCTACTATGAAAGCGCACTTCGACCAATGCTTCAAAAGCTTTTCAACCAAGATGCTGAATGGTCTTGGAAGCTGTGAAAAGCAGATCAAACGTCTCACCGAGAAGGTTGAATCTGTAGAGCGTGCGGTAGAAGAGTTTAAAGACAATGTAGAGCCAACCCAGCAGCAGGGCACTGGATCCAAGAAGCCTCAGTGTGCATTTTTCCGGCGATCTAGAAAGCCTCAGAAGGCGATCTACATACCGGCGTGAAGATCTCTAATCCAGCTTTCCAGATCAATCTTCTGATACCCATTTCGAGCTGTGACAAGAAATTTATGATCGTTTTTCTGTTGGATGTCAAATCTATCCGAAGGTGAACCATATTCGTTATTCATCAAATGACAAAGGTGAGGCGGGACTTGTGGATCTATAGGTTGTCTTAGACATATTTGTATATGTGTGTGCTGAACCTAGAATTAGAGATTGATTGGTAATTAAAACGAACATGAATGATTCTTTGAGAACTATTGTATGTATTGTTGATTGGTGTTAATCTAGGCGCGTTAGAGCGCATGATTGATCCCGGCCTATGGACGTATTGCTTGCTGGTCTTCACGAAGGACGTTTCGCGAAGTGGGACCATGGCTGGACCATAAACAGAGGAAGTATGGCACACTGAGGCTTCTTGGATCCAGTGCCCTGCTGCTTCTTGGATCGCCTTCTGAGGCTTCAAAGGTCGGCGAAGCACACTGAGGAAGAGGTTAAAGAAAATATAGAGCCAACCCAGCAGCAGGGCACTGGATCCAAGAAGCATGAAGGGGTTAGTACCAAAAACCCTCCGCCTGTACGAAAACATTACATGCGAACAAGATCACACAAAGTTAGGAACACTTAATACTAATGTCATTTGAATTCGAACATGTTTACTAGTGTTATGTACCATGTGAGATTATTTACTTATGTTTTCAAAACTAGTTGTTTACAATTTTCAGACTATGATAAAACATGTTACTAAATTATAGCATTGGTGTACTCATTTGTATATTCATGCATGTTTCTGACAATAAACTGCAGAGTAATTCAGATAAAGATGATGCTCCAATGAAAGATAATGTCAACATTGGTGCGTGTGAGAGTGTTAACGCCCCTGGGGATGCAAAAGGAAAGAAGGCCACTGTGAAGGAAGAAGAGGCCCCAGAGATGAAGGAAGAAGAGGCCCCAGAGCCTAGTTTTGTGAAATTGACCCGAAGACGTGTGATGTTGACTTCGACGCGGTTGCACTAGCCAAAAATGCCAAAGCCAGAGAAGCGGCTCAGATAGTTGCCCAAGCAACGAGTGTCAGACACCGCCAGCTGGCTGCGACACAGAAGAGTCCGTTCTTAGGAAACAGCACCGCAAAGGCCATCATTCCATCGTCGGCATCTCACTCCGGCCGTCGCCGTGGATATGATCCTTTTGATCAAACCGGTGTCAAGGCGAAGCATATTACTCTAATGAACTTTATCAAATCAAACCCGTAAGTAGACTTCTATACGTATGTAAGTAGACTTCCTCGTAGTATTATTTCCTATCTAACTTTTTCACTTATACAGTGCCTATCCAAAACGCCCAAGACACTCTTCGATCGAGTGGTATTACATTCTCCGGACACCGACGAAATGGCTAGCTGATACGGTTAGTGTTTTACTTTCTCATATTAGACTTTATGTTTAGACTTCATACGTAGACTTCTATAATAGACTTCGATTGCAGAATTTAGACTTCGTTTGCAGACTTCACTCATGTCTTATTTTCACCAATATGCAGCACATGGAAGCTTACATTAACCTACTCAGGCTGCGATTATCCAAGCATTCGGAGTGGTTTGTATCTGACCGGATTTGCTTCCTCAACTCATGTTTGCTACTGTTTGGAGGCGTGACTACAAAGACTTCAAAAACTCTGACCCGAATGCAGATGGGTCTGGCAAACTTCTACCGCCTGGAGCATATTCGTACTACACTGGCGAATTACCTATCTACTGCCAGACTAAGAAGACGTGGGCATATGATGTCAACTATTTGTACTCCATGTTGCACATTAGGGAGGACCATTTGGTAGCTATACATGTCTCATTTGTGTCGAGGCATATCACGATATGGGATAGCCATGCGAGAACCAAATATGCATCTGACGAACAAATTGCCGAAGCTGTGGAGCCTCTTGCGGTTATGATACCCTACCTTCTTCAGACATGTGCATCTGACGATGACAAGTGGAGATTCCCCTACACGCCGTTCACCCATTCGCGAGTACCAGGTACGGAGATACCTCAAAACATTCAGAGTGGTGATTGCGGAGTGTACTGCCTGAAGTACATCGAGTGTCATGCATTGGATTTGCCATTTCCTCCGGAACTTTGCGATAAAAACATTCGAAAAATCAGGGAGAAAATGGCTGCAGAGCTAAGTACCTTAAAAATCGAAACTTCTGATTCAACAATAAATATCCATTGAAACGAAATAAAATTCACTAGGTAGTTCAATCACTTACTAAGAAACATTTCTACACCAAAAAAAATTGAAAAATAGTTTATAAATTTGCTTAAAACGCGTTTTTACAAAAATGTCAAAAGTAGACTTCTAAAGCAGACTTCGACTGTAGACTGGAGTTACGACAGATTCTTTGTTTCCAAATATGTTACGACAGATTTACGAAATATTTTTCAAAATTTGATAAAATGAAAAAATTTATACGTGCCCAAGTATATACATGCATTACTAAACATTGTATATGTGTGCAATACAACTTCTTGTAAGTATATATAGCATAATGATGAAAATACTAATGTTTAAGATGAATCCTTACATGTTTCCCTAAATGTATATATGTACTTAAGAACACTTGATAACGTATATATATGAAAAAAAAATATTTTTTTTTTGTATATAACGTATATGTATCTTATGAGAATGTAAACCATGTAATTTTCATGCTTGAAACCCATCATATAGCCCAGGAAATGATGATTACAAGATTTATGGGTTATATTTCGTCGTAACTTTGACGGTGAATTATGACGCATTTACGAGGATCATGTACAAGTCGTCGTAAATTCGACGTAATGTTAACCATAGATTTACAAGTTTTTGAATCTTATACTAGAACTCCTTATAGCATAAATGGGTTTCCTCAGGAAACTCCTTAAAAAAACAATTCTATAAGGTGAGAAAGCCAAACCCTATAGGTTTAGGGTTAGAGTATTACGACGCATTTACGACGATTTTTTAATTTCATCGTAAAGTCGTCGTAAAAGTCAATGCCTGTCTAAAGTCAACATTTGACAATTTTCTTAACTTGATTGTCTTTCACTTTTACACATTTCTAAGTAATAAAAAGTTATTTTTATAACATTTAACAATATTTCTGTGCCCAAAACATTTAAAATTACGTTTAATGCATGAGACGACGTCGAGACACTGATCAATATTATGGTTAGCATTTAGGTACGTCTTCCGGGGATATGTCATTGTGTTCATCATCTTCCTCGCCGTTCTCAATCTCATCATCTTCATCACTGCTTGTTTCAAATTCATCAGCAGCTTCTTCAGTCTCGTCCCCATGGAGATCTTCAACTTGTCGATTACGTGGATCAATTAAAAGAACACGTTCTTCAACCTCAGGTTCAGTAATGTCTACACAATCATCTTGTTGCATAGGCGGGAGATCTACACCATCAAATATACCCCTTGGAGCAACTTTTATAACTGCCAACCATGAAATTCCAGTACTTCGAACTCGAGGATATGGAACAAATGTGACTTGTTCTGCTTGTGATGCAAGGATAAAAGGCTAAAACTTATTGTACCGTCATGAGGTGTTTACATCTACCACTCCGAATTTGTTAATACGCACTCCACGACCCACTGTTGGATCAAACCAATCACATTTTAATAGAACAGTTTTCATCCTTACTAATCTGGGGTATTCCACTTCAATTATCTCTTTTATGATCCCATAAAAGTCCACTTCACCTCGTACACAAACTCCATAGTTGGTAGTTGCCCGTTGAGTGCCATGACTGTAAGTATGGAAAACATAGCCACGGGTGAAATACATAGTTGCAGTAGTTATCTTATATATAGGACCATGGAGCAACTCGTAAAATCATACTGCATATGTCATGTCATCATGATCGACCTGAGATTTTAACCACAATGCACAAAGTTGGTCTTTCCGATTGTTAATTTCATCTTCTGAAACACCGTCAATGCATTCTCGGATTTGACTGACAAAAGTGCTGCAAAACAAATATTGTTAATTAATATTTTTTTTTGCATCAAATCATATATGGTAATCAATATAAGTAATCTTGTAGTACCTCTCGTAAGGAGCCAATTCGTCGCTGTTCAAAATGATGTATGTATGTGCGCTGTGGTAGTCCTTTTCATTTGACCAACAAGTTTCCTTTAGTTTCCCACTTAGACGTCCAATCGGTGAGAATATATCTGGTACACCTTCTACTGCGTAAGTTTGTCCTACACCACTATCGTCATAACGTCTAAGAGCCCGTTTTCGTGTACAAACCTTTGGAGCAAAATAGTAAGACGTGAAATGAGAAGTTTCTTCTGTCAAACTTCCCGCCACGATAGACCCTTCAACTTTTGCTAAGTTTTTATCCTTACCCTTTAAATGATTCATAAAGCGTTCAAACGGATACATCCACCTAAACTGAACAGATCCTCCTAACTCTGCTTTGTGAGTGAGGTGTATAGATAAATGTTCTACAACATCAAAGAATGCAGGTGGGAATATTTTCTCTAAATTGCACAACAGTATTGGAATATTTATTGTAAGTTGTGCAACTACATCTACTGATAACGTCTTTGTACTTAAATCACGAAAGAAAGCTCCAATGCCTCCTAGAGCCTCATGGAGATGTCCCAGTAGGAGTTCAGCAAATGCAAAAGGAAGGAATCGTTGCATAAGCACATGACAATCATGACTCTTCATCCCTGAAAACTTTTGTCATTTCTCCACAGATTTAGCTAAATTAGATACATACCCATCAGAAAATTTCACGGCTGATGATACCCAATTAAACAATGACTCTTTTTGTTCTGCACCCAACCGAAATACCGGAACTGGTGCTTTTCCATTACTCACAATATGCAACTTAATTCTATTACATATATCAGGCAAGTCCATCTATGATTTGACCCTGTCTTTGGTTCTTCCTTGGATGTTCAATACGGTATGCATGATGTTATCAAACAAATTCTTCATGTGCATAACATCAAGATTATGTCTCAGCAAATGATCTTTCCAATATGGCAGATCCCAAAATATACTTTTTGTGCCAATTATGATGAACCCCATATCCTTCAGGCATATTCACTGGAGTGTGCTAATTTCCTCCACGAGGGACCGTTTCAAGTCCACCCCAATGATCTATTTGCGCTTCAAGATCTACCCATGTTAGGTACACTGGTGGGGGAGACAAACCAATTTGTTCTTTATAAACAAACGCATGTTTCTTTTATATTGATGGTTTGGTGGTAAAAACCGACGGTGACAATCAAACTAACAGGTTTTTTGACCATGTTTAACCTGAAATGCATTAGTCCTATCAAAAACCTCCCATGCGTTGTCCAACCTGATAGCATTCTGTATGCCGGAAAGTCGCTTATTGTCCACATAAGCACTGCTCGCATCGTAAAGTTTTTACCACTCGAACAGTCATATGTTCATACTCCGACATGCCAACTGGTTTAACTCATGTATGAGTGGCTGCAAAAACACATCAAGGGCCCGCTTCGGGTGATTTGGACCAAAGACTAAGATACTTAGAAACAAAAACTTCCTTTGCATGCACATATCTGGAGGAAGGTTATATGGCGTAAGGATCAGATGCCATAAAGAAGATTGCCTACCAGACATACCAAATGGACTAAACCCTTCAGTGCAAAGACCAAGATCAACATTTCACTTAGATCTAGCAAAGTCTTGATGTACGGTGTTAAAATGTTTCCAAGATTTTCCGTCAGAAGGGTGAGTCATTTTGCCATCTGTTTGTGAATGTTCTGCATGTCATCTCATCGATGCAGCTGTCCGTTCAGATTGATATAGTCTTTTTTAACCTATCAGTTATAAGAAGATACCACATTCGTTGGTACGGAATCTTCTTACGTCCATCAATTTCCGGTTTATATCTTGGCTTTTGGCAGAAACAGCATTCTTGAACCTTCTCTCCAAAAAAGCATAAAATTATCAACACATACATCAATCATCTCAGAAGGCAATCCAAGACTAAAAACCAACTTTTTAATTTCATAACACGTTTCAGCAGCCAAATTATCATCTGGCAAATACTCTTTAATAAGATCTGCCCAATCGTTCATGCAAACTTCAGATAAATTGTGATCAGTTTTTACTGTCATCATCCGAGCTGCTAATGATAATTTAGATAAACCTTCTCTACATCCTTCGTAAAGAGGCTGTTTTGCTGCGTTTAACATATCATAAAAGCGTTTCGCATCTGCATGGGCTCCTCAACAATATCAGCATGTGTTTCATGAAATGCATCAGTAACCATATCATGCATCCTATCCTGATCTTCACTCTGAACTTGACTACTTTGATAATCATTTGACGCTTCAAAATCTCCATGTTCTTGATGATTACTACTACTCCGTGCAGCCATCTGACCACTACTTTGAGCATATCCCTCTCCATGCTGATACCAAATAAAATATTGTGGCATGAACCTTCTATTCAATAAATGCTGCCAGACAGTGTCAATAGGAATATGTTTCCTATTTTTACATTTCACACAAGGACAATACATTTTGTCACTTTCAATTACAGTTTGCATAAGGCCGGCGTAATACATGAATATTTCCAATCCGTTTTTGAAATCTTCAGTCAACGACCCTTCGGCATTTTTGGACGTATACATCCACTTTCGTAGATCGTATATAGACATTTCAAAAACAAAAAATTAACTTTTTGTTTTTTCACTTCGATGTAAATTTCAACTACTAAAATTATACTCAAACATTCAAAGACCCCAACAATTGTGTCTTTGTATGTTTTTTTTGTTTGGTGGAATAATGAGGGGGTATATATAGATTTTTTTTTGGTTACCAGCATATTGCCATTGAATATTTACATCAAATTTACGTTGAAATCTGTGTTACATCATGTTTACATTGATATTACATCGAATATAAGATGGATGCCAAATCATCGTATAATCGATGTAAATTTTACGACAAAATTACGACGATATATAAATCGTTGTTTAATCGTCATAAAATCGTCGTATATTTACGCCGATTTTACGACATAAGAATTTACGTCAAAATTACGACGAAATAGTTTTGCGTCATAATTTCGACGTAATTTAGTCATAAATTTACGAAAATTTATAATCGACGTAAAAAATCGTTGGAAATGTGCCTCTTTCTTGTAGTGTATGGATTGGTTGGTTAATGGAGTGTGTTACCTCTGTTTCCTATTCTTTCTTGATAAATGGTGGACCTTAAGGATTGGTT